GCTGCCACTGTCTATGAGTCTATTGGCAAAACCAGACAAATATATGGAAAAGCAATGGAATTTGGGCCAGAATTGGGCAGAGGGCATGGCATCCACTAGACACTGAAGGAACATGCTGAAATAATGAGAGACTGAATTAACTGACTAAAACTAATTAATGGAAACTTTCTATTATGGTTCAGAAAATAAAAAACATAGGAGTAGGAAAAAAAATCAATGAAAGTGAATATTGTTAGGGGATATATCCTGGAGAAGGAGAGATTAACTGGCTGTTAATAGATCAGCAAAGATTTTATATTTAGGGAAAAGATGAAGATACGCTTAGTAGTAGGGGAAAAAGAACAAAGAATCAGGGTGAGAAATACGCGGAGAGTCCCCAACTTACGATGGTTTTACTTACGGTTTCTGAGTTTTGAACTTTAACATGGTGCTGTTTTTCATTTTCAATAATTTAGTATTCAATAATTTAGATGATATATTTGACTCTTTGTTATTTAAAAAACTTTGGTTAGATGATTTTGCCCAACCGTAGGTTAACAATGTAAGCTCATTTAAGTTAGGTGAGGCTAAGTTGGGATGTCTGGGAGTTAAATGTATGATACATCTCACTTAAGATATTTTCAACTTATGATGGTTTTTTTTTTTTTTTAACTTTTTCATAAAGTGAGGAGCTTGTATGGTACAATGTACGCTGGTAAATGTTCATCAGCCTTCTCCTGGGGGACAGGGAAGCCCCTAGATGTAGCATTTGCTAATTCCCATGATATAAATAGTCCTAATGGGATGGGTTCAAGTTAATAGAATGACATCACTGAATGGGATGTTGGGCATCAAATGCCACCCTGATATATTCCCACCAGGGACACAGACAAGTGATCTCAGAAACACAGATAAGAGTCAAATAAGTAGGAAGTCATGAATTTTAAGTATTTATTAACTTTTTCAATATGACTTTTAAGTTGTAAGTTGATATAATTTATTTTTAAATAATGACTGTGTTTCACAGCACCTCACCATCTTACAGAAGATTTAGCATGGGCCCTTTCCAGCACATACAAGAGCATTCCAGCACACTGTTACTGCATGTACCTAAAACAGGGAGACCAAGCCCATGGGGATTGTTCATGATGGAGAACAGAGGGAAGTCAATTCACCTCATGGAAGCAGATTATAAACACCAGGAAAGACAAGGGACATGGTCCAGATGGAAGGCAGTGGACATGAGAAGAGCTGACTTGAGCCAGCTGCTGTGAGGGGGCAGGAAGTCTGAGGGGGGTTACTGGACGGCACGACACAGGAGACCACTGTGTTAGGTTCACTCTAAGACTGGGAGGTAGGGGAGAGGGAAGCAGAGGACTGTGGGAGGCATTTTGAAATAAATCCAGCACAACTTGGTGCTCAAATTTGCATATCAGGAGAAGGACCAAAGATGCACAAGGTCCATCCGGGTGACTGAGAAGAGAGTTGAAGCTGAGAGAATGAGTGGACCTAAATTCACAGGGAAGGAACATGACCTCTAGAACCTGCAGGATGAGAGCCCACAGCCAGGGAGTGGTGTCAGTAGAAAACTCCTATAGGGAGATGTGGGGCCAGAGCTTGGGAGAGAGAAACGGGATCGAACATGCCAATTCAGGGCTGGAGTTGTGGCTCAGTGGTAGAGCGCTCGCCTAGTACGTGCAAGGCCCTGAGTTCCATCCTCAGCACCACATAATAATAATAATAATAATAATAATAATAATAATAATAATAATAATAAATAAAATAAAGATATTGTGTCCAACTACAGCTAAAAAATAAAAAATATTTTTTAAAAAAATGCCAATTCAAGAGTTTCAGTCCAGAGCTGGAGAAAGAAGTCTTAAGATGAATGAGCCCCCCTGGAGAAATACACAGGAAAGAAGGAAGAGGCTTTGGCACACACCATCACCTGGAAGGTGGGAAGAGGAAAAGAAGACACAGAAGACTCCAGATGAGAAGCCTCAAGCAGAGCTGGGAGAATCAAGGTCACAGAACTAAGATGCAGTTTCCAAAGGAAAAGAAGTAGAGATAA